CTTTTCTCCTCCCAACTAGCACACAAACATGATCTCGCCAAAGCACAACAACAACCCAATGCTGTGCAAGTACACGTACAAGGCGTGCTATAACCCGCGCACGACCAAGAAGAACGGCGACCTCCACATGCTCTGCGACTACCACCGCGACAAGGCCAACGAGGTCCAAAAAACCCACGCCAAGAAGCGCAAGCTGCTCCGGGCCGCGCAAAAGGCCGCGCTGCTGCAGTCGCCGCCGCTGACCACCAATGTCTTGGACCTCCAGTTTCTCAGTACCCTCTTGGACGACGCATGGGCACCGCTGAACGTGGCCGCCGACTCGACAGCGCTGACCGAGGACGAGTGTGCGATCCTCTTTGCCCTCTTTTAGAGGCGCCCACAACTTATTCTTATTGTAATATATACCTTCCAACATTATCCAGGTTGCGAGCGACCTACACCATAGTTCTTAGGCTGACGGTGCAGAAGCATCTTTGCGCTACAACGTCAGTCGCACGCGTTTGGGTGTGAGAAGGATGGCGCAAGGAACACGGAGTTGGAAAAGGCCGCCCGTGGGGACGGACTGAGAACTATGTTCAAGCACATGAAATTCGACTTCGGCACAAATCTGCGCAGCAACGCGTACACGGTCACCATCGATGAGAGGGCCTAAAAATTTAGTCTTGCCAGCGACGGCGCCAAGCTATCTCGTGAACGGAAGCAGCTCTTTAGGTCGCGCTTACCACATAGTTTGAAAGATCTATGAACGGCCAATGGAATCGCAATAGCGACTACCTGTTGTTGTTGAACTGAGTTATTACATGCAATTGTAAAGATATGGTGGACTTCCTAATGCTCTCGTGAGGCTTGGCCGGTGCGTCAGCAAGGAGCGTTAGTGGTCGTGATTCGGAACTATGCGAGGGACCAGGTAACGGGCACACCAAGGGTCGTCGCGGGGAGCGACCAGCGACGCGTCAAGAGATGGCACTACAGGGCAGCGAGCCAAGTGGCGGACGTGCAGTCGTGCGATGGTAGCTGCCCGGATCGCGAGCGCGCCAGCGGGAAGTTGCGTCAGCGTCGTGCGGAAGACACGGTTGTTGCGTTCGAGCCAAAGAAAATACCAGACGCAAGCGCGTAAGATCGGCCAGAGGGCACGAATGGAGGACTTGTGGGCCGAGTACGGTGCGGCGACGTCGTCGTAGAGAAGGCTAGCGACCGACGACGGGAGTTGCATCTGCAAAATGCCCCGCATCGGTGCAAAAGCGCACCAGATCGCTCGGACGTATGGGCACCGCACCAAAAGATGGTCGTACGTTTCTCGGGCTTGCGCATCGCAGAGAAGGCAGTGTCTAGCATCGTGGCCGAGAACGTGCAAGCTGGCTCGGACGTCCACGGCCTTCAAGCGACCCGGTACACGAAGTCACCGTATCGCGGAAGGACGTGGGCTGGCTGCCTTAGAGGTACAAATGAGGCCGTTCGGCCCGGGTGCTCGTAGAAGGTCGCTGGGACGCCAAGGTGTTGCACTGGAAGGACACGCCAGTCAAAGCGCGTTCGCTGTCGGAAGCCGGTCAGTCTGACGTCCATAGTCGCCGCGAGGACGACACGTGGTCCGAACTTGACGAGCCATGGGGGGCACTGGTTGGGCACACGTCATGATCGGCAGGCGGGATGAGCTGGAAGCATCGAACGAGAGTGGTCGCGAGCAGTCGGATCCAACAGCGGGTTGGCTGCAACGCTGGAAAAAGTCTTGGTAGATGTTCTTCGAGGTCGGCGACCGTGTTTTTAATGGCTTG